GGAGGGAATAAAACACCTGTCAGCCAGTGAGACCAATCCAGGGCTGATAATGTGGCATGAAGGCCATGAACAGTTGCCTTGCAGACCTTCTGTTATGGCTTGTCGGCCACTGGCCCCTCCTGCAGCCAAACCAGATGAGGCGATGTGGGAGGCAGGGCCAGCATCAAGGCAAAGTGAGAGCTTTAAGGGGGAAGAGGGAATGGAGACGGCAGAGAGAGAGAGAGAGAGAGAGAGGCAGAACCCTCAGGAGAGTCAACAGCCCCCAGGTCTAGAGATGGCTGATGAGGAAGAGGAGAAACAGCCTGACACGTGAATGCACAGAAGGCAGAGGAGAGGAGAGCAGTGAAAGCTATGGGCCGGTCCTTGGGACGGAAGAGCTACCGCTGCCAGCGAAGCCCTACACTAGTTCTGGGGATAAAAGGCAGGGGGCGGAGATGAACAGGTATGGCAGACAACTATTCATCTCCCTGCCGGACAGACTTGTTAGCCTGCTGTAAGAGGGAGAGAGAGAGACTTTTTCCCCGGGGCTGCTGGCACTTCTAATAATGGAATCGTTGATTTAACTACAGAGGGTTTGTCGTGTTTGGGAGCCGGGTCAGAACACCTCCATTCTCTGATCTTCTACTTCATAACAACTTGTCATGAAGCATCCACCTACAAAGAGACACTATACAATTTGTCACTCTCAGGAGGAAACCATGCACCCACACAGTGGTGGAATCCCCCCCAAAATACTACCGGTTCTGTGGGCGTGGCTTAGTGGGCGTGGCAGGGGAAGGATGCTGTAAAATCTCCAGTCAGAGGTGGGATTTGTCAGTTCTCTGAACTACTCAAAATTTCTGCTACCAGTTCTCCAGAACTGGCCAGAACCTACTGAATGCCACCTTTGGATATACTGCAAAATCTCCCATTTCCACCCCACTAACCTGCTTTACTGCAAAATCCCCATTCCCTCCCCACCCCACTAACCTGCTTTCCAGCTCCGTTCTCCTGTTCAGGGCAACAAAAGAAGACCCAGCCGATCAGCTGGGACTCGGGAGGCAGAGAATAGATGTGGGCAGGGCCAGTCAGAGGTGGTATTTGCTGGTTCTCTGGACTACTCAAAATTTCCACAACTGGTTCTCCAGAACCTGACAGAACTGGCTGAATACCACCTCTGCACCCACCCCCAAAATAATCTTGAAGGCAGCTGATTAAACCAGTGGCCTACAACTCCCCCCCCACACACACACACACCAGGAATGGGTTCCATGGAGAGCATTTTTTCCACAGACTGGAAGGGGTGTGGTTTTATGTGCTGCCTGCATTCCACGGATGGGGCTTCGCTTGTTTGCGCGGCCCGGTTTCTGGCATGCCATGGCGTGGTACCGATCCATGGACTAGGAATCGGGGGGGGGGCTGGATTAAACAATGCCTGGTCATGATGCTAATGTTGGCCAAGATCTGTGTGTGCTTAGGAGAGAGAGGAAGGAGACCATTAAGAGGGTTTTCTTCCCTCTTAATAAGTGTTTTCCCTCAGGCTTTTAAGTGGGAGGAGTTGCTGCCATACTGGCAAAGCACATGAAGTTCAAACAGCAGGTGTACTTCCAACCTTATAGCAGCCTCCACCCCTTGTCCAAATTTAAAAAACCAAGTCCAGAAATAATATCTTATAAAGATCAGTGGCCTCTTAGAAGAACAAGGAGCTGCAATAGAATAAATGCCCAAACCTTGACAAGTCTCTTCTCAAGAATTTAGGTAATAGCAAAAGTAACACCAAAATACAGCTTAAAAGGAGAATACCAAAATTACACATTAAGCTACTTCATGAAAAAAAAAAAAAACCCAACACTTAGGCATTTGCACGTAATTTGTGTTGTGACAATAAATGACAGCTACAAGTGTCAGTGTATAGTTTTAAGATCACTTTACACATTTAAAAAGATCCTATGCAGCAGTGGTGGGATTCAAATTTTTTTGCTACTGGTTCTGTGGGCATGGCTAGATGGGCGTGGCAGGGGAAGCATACTGCAAAATCCCATTCCCTCCCCATCCCACTAACCTGCTTCCCAGTTCCGTTCTCCTGTGCAGGGCAACCAAAGAAGACCCAGCCAATCAGCTGGGCCTTGGGAGGCAGGGAATAGTTGGGGGCGGGGCCAGTCAGAGGTGGCATTTGCCGCTTCTCCGAACTACTCACAATTTCCACTACCAGTTCTCCAGAACTATATGTTGTGTGCGTGTTCCTAACTTCAGTTATTCATATTAATTCTTTGCTTTTCCTTTTTCCTGACTTCTTAAATTTGCATTTGTCTAAGGGCAGGCACCTGATCTTTTAAAATAAACATTTTGCTATCTGTCAGCGTTGTGTACTGAAAGTGCGCTGCAGTGATGATGGCATCCTTCAAAATTCACATTTGAAAATAACTTTGTTGAACCTAGTGGCGGTCAGAAAGCAGCAGCATGCACTCTTGAGTTCTTTAGAGGATGTGGAGGGGGGAGGGGAAACCAAGCAAAAGAAAAAGTGACTGGTTTTAAAGGAACCTGATTTTGCACTTAAAGATGTCTTCATGAAACCAAGCAGGGGTGCACTACAGCCAGTTCAACTGTACCATCTAAGATGCTGAGACATCAGCCACCTGTAAGGCATTGCCCAAAACAGGAGTCTCCAACCTTAGCAAGTTTCAGACTTGTGGACTTCAACTCCCAGAATCCCTCAGGCAGCTTTGCTTTGCTGGCTAAGGAATTCTGGGAGTTGAAGTCCACAAGTCTTAAACTTGCCAAGGTTGGAGACCCCCTGGTCCAAAGGATGCACAAATGAGGCTTCCCACTTTTCGGAAAGATAAAATTCAGGACTTCTGCTCATTCCTAGATAAAAGTATTTTCCTTACTAAATGACAAAAAAAAAAAACCACAGTAGAAAAGAAACTAAGCTGTTGTAAAGAGCCAAACTGACAACGGTAGAGCTATATTTCTCAACCTTGGCAACTTCAAGATGCGTGGACTTCAATTCCCAGAATTCCCCAGCTGGGAATTCCTGGCTGGAGAATTCTGGGAGTTGAAGTCCACACATTTTAAAGTTGCCACTTTAGCTGAAAAACACTGTAGTAGAGTTTTTGAGGCAAACTTCTGTTCTCCTTCTCAATGGCCTACTTTGTTTTCCTCAAACGTGACAAGTGAATGCTCCCTTGGAAGACAGTTCTGTGTGCCATGTCTGAAAGGAGACCCAAATCCTTCACCTTGTTTTAGTTACATCTACCCTCTCAGCGCCAACAGTCTAGACAATTTTTTTTAAAAAAAAAACCTGACTTCCTTTTTCCTCAAACTGCAAAATATTCAATAAGCAATAAATGTTTCGATAATAACTCCGACATCTGCCAGGAACATGTTGCAAACTACCACAATTAGAAAGCAGTATTTTGGGGTGGGTGGTTGTGTGTGGTGTTTTTTTTTTTTTTTTTTTAAGGAAGAAAACAGGCTGTACAAATCACAGAAAGCATATGGACGTTTTTACAGTACATATGTATGTATGTGGAGATATTACCTGAATACTTTACAAAGCAGGAGAGAAGATCATGGTAGCCAAAGAGCTCTTCCTTATTTCTTGCCTTGCCCCGGGATTACAACCATCAAGTGGTAGCTACAACCCAGAACACAACCTGGATTCATTTGTTTCAGTGCTATTGCCATTTCTTCAGCCAAACTTGGTTCTGGCAAATTTTGAAGGTTTTCCTGCTCCCAAGTGTATATCTCAAAGCCCAATGGTTGTGGATTGATGTCCAGTCTTTGCACGCCCTCTGGTGGTCACTGATAGAATGACAGTCCGATTGCTCAAGCAGGAAGTGATACTCAAAAAAGGAGATTTGTCTTTGGTAGTGATACAGTTTAAAATTAGGAATGGAAGGCCCTCTGATTTAGTGGTTAGCTGAGGCCATAAAGAACCAGGGTGAACAATTCAGTAATAATTCAACACACAATATGGATGGTTTGGAATGTAATAACTTTGTTGAGACATAGCTGGCCGAGCAGAGCCTGGGCGGGGAATGTTTAAAGATCCTTTATCTGCCTTTTGCTCCCTAGAAGAATTGAGATATAGTTAAATAATAAATATACCTGTTTATTCAGTTACAGTTTTGTACCAAAAAGTTTGACAAGATTACCTGTCCATTCCTCTGTACCAACGTTGGTATTCAAATTCTTTTACTACCGGTTCCATGGGCGTGGCTTGGTGGGCATGGCTTGATGGGCGTGGCAGGGAAAGGACACTGCAAAATCTCATTCCCTCTCCACCCCCACTAACCTGCTTTCCAGCTCTGTTCTCCTGTGCAGGGCAACAAAAGAAGACCCAGCCAATCAGCTGGGACTCGGGAGGCAAGAATAGATGGGGGCGGGGCCAGTCAGAGGTGGGATTTGCTGGTTCTCCGAACTGCTCAAAATTTCTGCTACCGGTTCTCCAGAACTGGTCAGAACCTGCTGAATACCACCTCTGTGTGAGACCATTTAATTAAGATTTCTTCAATATAAAAAGGAAGTAGAACGCTATAGAAATTCCTATAGGGCTTCTAACTTAGTGATCTGAGCAGAAACTTGAGTAAGATTGACTCAACCCATTATACACAGTTTAATACAGTCAGGTACCTTCTAGATTTAATACTGGGGCTACCTCAGAGGAAGTAAGAGAGGTACTATGGTACGGAGGTTAAGGGATTGATCTAGAACTGTGGTAACCTTAGTTCTAGCTCACCTCAGTCATGAAAGCTCTCTGGATGACTTTGGGCTATTCTACCAGCCGCATCTACTCCATAGGTGGCTGATGGTTGCTGGGATAATGGGATAGAAGCAAACACTGTAGCTCCGCCATGAGGAGCACATGCCTGACACTAGTAACCATGGAGGAACTTGAAGACTTTCTATCATTGCTGTAACTATCTCATTTACAGCTGGGGAGAAATGAACTCTTGTATTTCAATACCGTATACATTTCTGAAGAAAAATTCACATGGAAAACGTTCTTAATCCCTCCATCAGTTGTACAATGAAATATCTGCTTTAGCTTCCAGATTCTGTTTGATGTTTTGCTGTTGGCTGCTTCTACCTGTTCGGATCATCCACCTGTGCCGGAAGAGTTTCCTTTCGCTCTCTTTCTGTTTCCACAGCCGGGCCAGCTGTGCAGCGTTGTGTCCTTCATTGTCCTCATCACTGACCCTGGCTCCGCCATCAAGGAGGATACTGATACATTCAACCTGGCCTGAAGTGACAGCAGCGTGGAGGGCTGTCCTACCCAGAGGCGTTTTAAGTTTCGCATCAGCGCCTGGAAAGGAATAGAAGACATATATCTGGGATTCAGTAAGGTCGGGTTTAACATTTGTTTCATATAAAATGCAGCCAGAGATAGAGTCTCTTTTATCAAGTGAGGTACTAATGCCACTCTATAAAGCCTTAGTAAGACTACACGTAGAGTACTGCATCCAGTTTTGGTCACCACATTATAAAAAAGATGTTGAGACTCTAGAAAAAATACAGAGAAGAGCAACCAGGATGATTAGGGGACTGGAGGCTAAAACATACAATGAACGGTTGCAAGTACTCAGCATGGTTAGTCTAGTGAAGAGAAGGACCAGTGGAGACAGTGCTCTAATATTTGAGGGGCTGCCAGAGAGGAGGGGCTCCGGCTATTTTCCAAGGCACCCGAAGGCCAGACAAGGAATAATGGATGGAAAACGGTCAAGGAGAAATTCAACCTAGAAATAAGAATAACTTTTCTGACAGTGAGAACAATCAACCAGTGGAACAGCTTGCCTTCAGAAGTTGTGGGAGCATCACCCCTGGAAGCTTTCAAGAAGAGACTGGACTGCCTGCCATCTGTCAGAAATGGTGTAGGGTAGCCTGCTTGGGCAAGGGGTTGGACTAAAAGACCTACAAGATCCCTTCCAACCCTGTTGATCTGACAAAGATCTGTTATCCTCAGAGGACACATTTCTCATGCTCCATCGCTGGAGGCTTTTAACAGACCAGGCAGGCGCTTGTCTAAAATGGTATAGGTCTCATGCTCAAGCAGGAGGTTGGACTAGAAGACCTCCAAGGTCCCTTCCAACTCTGTTATTCTATGTTCTAGCCTGAGATGTTCTTTCCTCTTAAGCAGAGGTTTAAGTTGTCCGTGTCGTCACTGCCACACAACGGGTCTAGCTACACTGGCTTGGTCCTTATCGCTCTGCGTATCGTCTGAGGCAGCCCCGAAGATGTTGGAAGTTGGGCAGTTCTGGGCTCCTGAAAGAGAGGCTGGATCAGCTACAGGCAGAACTGATTTGCCACATGGCCAGCTGGGAGGAGGGGTTGGTTTGAGAAAGGAAAGTTCCAAAGCCTTTTGTGGAGACAGACATTTTTGAAGATGCCCATCTTGGAAGCCCTAATGCATGAAAACAGAAATTTGTTTAATATACATATACAAATGAATCTGGCTTCTTCCCCATTATCAGGTCGCAAAAGGTGACACGACCCCGGGACACTGCAACGGTCACAAATATGAGTCCATTGCCAAGCTTCTGAATTTTGATCACGTGATGCTGCAACAGTCATAAGTGTGAAAAATGGTCATTTTTTCAGTGCTGTTTGGTCACTAAATAAATGATTGTAATTTGAGGACTACCTGCGTAGAGGGAAAAATCAGCATGGACTATATTATGGGAGTCTTTCAGAACTCAGTACGCTACCATTTTGGAGCAAAAATTCCACTGCCTTTGTGTGGCCTCTGTGAGCAGTAATAAACAAAGCCACGAATGCTCGATGCGCTAACCAGTCGTTCCTCTTTTCTTCCGTCATTAGCTTCGAATTTGCAGTGCTGAACCCGGAGGTCTGTGTAACTCCTACGGTTTGCAACTGGCAACAAAGAAGCAAATGTTAAGGGCTCCGTATTGAGAAGCAGGCAAAGGAAACATAATACCCGCTGTCGGGTAGTTCTCGACTTGCAACTGTTCATTTAATGACTGCTCAAAGTTATGACGCTCTCAGAAAAAAATAAAGATTTACAACTTGGCAATTGGACTGCAAAGGTTTTGTCGCCGTTCGAGGAGACACTGCCAGTGTGTTTTGAGTTGTCAATTCAAAACACACTGATGATATCTCCTCAAAGGGTGATGAAATGTTTGCAAGCAAATTGCCAAGTTCAAACCAGCAGCCTAACTACCAATCCGAGCTAATAATATTCAAACACATTTCATGATTTACAACTTTACTCGCACCGCTGTAAAATTGGGTCCAGTTCAAATTACAATCACAGTTACTTATAACAGAAATAGTAATTCTGATCCCAACTGTGGTCATAACTCAAGGGCTACCTATAAATAAGTCCCTTGTGATCTTCTCTATTTACAGTTGTGAGATTTTCTGTGATCTTCTATTTAAGGACTGGTAATCCACAACTTATAACCACAATTGAGCCCCAGATTTTTGTTGCTAAGCATGATAGTTGTTAAATGATCTCTCCCCCCCCCCCCCATTTTATGACTTTTCTGTAGAAGATGAAACGACTGAACCCGAGGGAGGGGTCAAACACATCATCAGTCATGAGTTCCTGTGTGCCCACAAGAGGTCAAAGTCCAGCCTACCTTGAATTCCTTCTATTCTTATCTCCCGCTAATTTCTCTTGACCATCAGTAGTTCAGATTCTTGAAAGGAGCTTAAGCTTGCAATAAATCTTTATTCCCATTTGAACTGCCTGAATCCCCTGATTTCCTCAGCACTTGCCACTTTCTTGCCATAGTTCTTAAGTGAATCACTGCAGCTGTTAAGTTAGTAACATGATTGTTAATTGAGCCTGGCTTCCCCACTCTTCGCTTGTCAGAAGATTATGAAAGGTGATCACATGATCCCTGGACACTGCTACCGTCATAAATATGAGTCAGTTGCCAAGCATCTGAATTTTGATCACGTGACCATGGGGATGTAAGTGTGAAGAACGGTCATAAGTCACCTTTTTCATCACCGTTATAACTTCGAATGATCACTGAATGAACTATTGCAAGTCGAGGATTCACCGTATCTAATCCTGATTTATTTTCTGAGGTAACCAAAACATTCAGATAATTTTACTTCATTTTGGTGCCTTTTGTTTTGATTTGTAAGGTGTCTCAAAACCTTAAAGTAGCCAACCAAGGCTGTCTACATCTCTGAGGGACTGTCCAGCCGGGTAAAATTCCTTTTAACACTTCAGTTTTGAATGTTGATAATTTCAGAAGAAAGATTTCTTTTGGAGCCTGGGATGGCGATAAGGCGCCTTTTATGACATGCTTTCCCACCTCCAGGCTGAAGGGGAAGGATGAATATCGCAGTCTGGAAAGGAGAGAAGGCTCTCCCAGCACCTCAGAGGCCAGCCATGAGGGAGAGGCCTTCCTTAACATTATTGTTGTGTTACTTTCTGTTATCCTCTGTTATGTCATGTTCTATTGTTGTGAAGTTACATCGTGTTATGATGTGGTGTTGTGATGTTACATTACATTACATTACAATTTTACTCCATTAATTTATTTGATTTTACGAGTTTTATTGTTTTAAATTGTGGTTTTATATGTTGTAAGCCACCTTGAGTCGCCATGGCGAATAGGCGGCAATACAAATAAAATAAAATCAAATAAATAAATAAATGTGAGCATTCAGAACCACAATAACCAAGATTTCTGAAAGCAAATTATTGGAATATTGTTTACTTCTTGATTGTTGATCTGATGTTAATCTTGGTGTTAATCTATGTTCATCTGGGTGTTGATTGCTGGTGGTGAGGTCCTTTTTGTTCCCATTGTGACTTGATGATTGTCTCTTTGGAATGATATGTAGATGTTGTTTGTGTCTATGTTTCTATTGATGATCAATTTGTCAGCTTCCAGGAATGTTCTAGCAGTGTGGTTCTCAACCTTTTCTTCACCACAGACCCCCTTTAAATACCCTTTGTGGCCACAGACTGTGACCACGGACCCCCCAAGACTTAATTCAAGATTTAAATCATCACATTTCTTCAATCCTTCCTGGATCCTGTGACAATATTGTGGCGTCCCCAGGGGTCCACAGACCACAGGTTGAGAACCATTGCTCTAGCGTTTTTGGTATTATGCCAAAATTTAGCTCTTTCTCACCTTTTACCACTGAAATATTCCTTACCTCAAAGGAAGCCCTTCAAAAATCACTTGCTGTAGTTTCTGTAGAACAGCATGAAGTACTTTTTAAAACTTTCAAACTAACCTTCTTGATCTTTCCACTTGCAGCTGCAGCCACCAATTGTCCCCAAGAATCTTCTGGCCAAATTCGCATAGTAAGCATTCCTCCAGGGACAATTTCATGTTTCCTCAAAGTAGACTCATCCTCAAGATCTGCTGTAGAAGCAAACTGGAAGTAGTAGTAGTAGTATATCCTGGGTAGGTTTAAAACACTACAAGCTAATAATACTGTGTTTTTAAAAAAACAATTCCTATGAGCTGCAGAGTCCTTGATGCTCTCTGGTTTGTTTGCTTGCAAACATTACATTACTGAACTAGGTAATGAGTGATTAACTAATCAGCTAGACTAGAAGATAAACATTTCTAAATAAAATAACCTGATTTGACTTAACAATGAACCCAGATTTCATTAACACAGAATTTGGGAGTACCTATGCACTATACAGGTTTTTTTTTAAAGTATATCCAAACCTGGTCTTCTATGATATAATATAGCTACATATTATAACCATTTATTTTTATCATTTATGCTGGAGACCTTGTGGACTAATAACCCTTGAAACTGTCCAATATTCAGGAAAAAAATTCCTGGCTCAGCCAGTCAGACATTACATGGAGGATTATGACACTGTGGTAAGACATAGCTGCCACATAGACAAGAGCGCTCACCTTCATCCAGATACTGAATTCGCTGGAAATTCACTGGGATCCCAACATAAAGCTCAAGTCGATTCTTCAGTTTACCAATACTTAAGTCCCGGTGACATTCAGGTAACGAAAATAATTCATCAGATTCAATTATTTGTAACTTGATATTGAAGAGCCGTGACTGCGGAGATAAAAGGTCTCCTAAACGCAAATGTCGTTGCCATAATGTACGTGAACTCGTTGCAGTTCTGGTTTGGGGATTTGTGCTAAGTGTCAGTCTTCTTTTGCTTTGCATTCTGCGAACAAGGCAGCGCGCGCTAGATTCTTTCCACCTGAGAATCTCCGTAGACACTTTCCACCTGAACCAACGATGTCATGACTGAAGAACAATGCCTGGTCAGGCAAGTCACTAGAACGTAGCCAATGTGATGTCATGATGTAGCTAGGACACACACCTGGAAAGTTTCCACCTGAGCGATCAAACTTCTTACAGCAAGCATTGGTAAAAGAAATACATGATTTAAAACCCCAATAAGCTGATAAAGGGTCCTCAAAGAATCAAGCTCGTCAGCTTTCCTCCCTAACGCGGTATAGCAATAGCACTTAGACTTACATACTGCTTTATAGTGCTTTACAGCCCCTCTCTAAGCGGTTTACAGAGTCAGCATATTGCCCCCCAACAATCTGGGTCCTCATTTTACCCACCTCGGAAGGATGGAAGGCTGAGTCAACCTGGAACCTGATGGGATTTGAACTGCCAAACTGTAGGCAGCTGGCTGCAGAAGTAGGTTGCAGTACTGCACTCTAACCACTGCGCCACAGAGGCTCTATCATCAGCAGCAGCAGCAGCATATATCCTATAGTAATTAGCCAGTTTGGTCTAGCGGTTAAGATACCAAGCTAGAAATGAGTTCTAGTCTCATCTTAGCTGTGAAAGCCAGCTGGGTGACTCTGGGTCAGCCCCTCATCAGCCCAACTCAACTGACAGGGTTGTTGCTGTGGGGAAAATAGGAGGCAGGAGTACAGGCAGTCCTTGACCTTCAACAGTTCATTTAGTGACTGAAGTTATGCCAGCACTGAAAGAAGTGACTTATGACCATTTTTCACACTTATGACCATTGCAGCATCCTCATGGTCACGTGATCTGCATTTGGATGCTTGAGAACTGTCTCACATTTACAATGGTTGCAATGTCCGAGTCATGTGATCCCTTTTTGCTACCTTCTGGCAAGCAAAGTCAGTGGGGAAGCCAGATTCACTTAACAACCGGGCTACTTAAATACTGCAGTGATTCACTTAATAAATGTGATGAGAAAAAGTCATAAAATAGAGGACAAAACTCACTTAACAAATTTCTTAATTAGCAACTGAAATTTTGGGCTCAATTGTGGTCATAAGTTGAAGACTTAAAAGACTTGAAGGGTTTTCAATTCAATGTATAGAATGCGAAGGATGTGTGTGCTTATTTTCATAGTCATAATGTACACTGAAGATGGTATTTAATTCCATTGTACAAGGTGCAATGACAATAAACGAACTAAACTACCTGTATTAGATGTTTGCCATATTGAGCTGTTTATTTAAAAAAAGTAATAAATGTGGGATATAAATAATATGAAATGCTGATTAATGCTGTGCTGTTTGCATGCTAAATGATGTTCGAAAAGAATATGCAGTAATAAGAGTACATTCAATAAACAGAATTTGATAAAACGGTGGAATTTATTGATATAAATAAGAATAGAAAGTTACATAGATTCTTACAAAATCAGTGGCACATTCAGACCCTATCCAACTATTTGGATTCTAACCACCATTCTTTACAGGTTTAACTACTACAGCAGAATTGCAACTAAAAAGTTGTAACTATGTTGCAACAGATAACACCAGGTTTGATTTCAAAATGAAATCCATGCAGCTTCTGTAAGAAGAGGTGACTACGTATCAGCTCTAACTCACTGTGAGGTTCAATTACTTTTATGCTATTTGAAAAGAACATGTGACTATCCTCAAATGTCCATTAGTGTTTTTTCACCTAGAGTAACCTGTAAGGTATCATCACATCATCAGTTTTTATTACAGGTAAACCGTTTTTAAGACTACCATACTGCACAGATCCCAGTGTTGATTTATAAGTGGGTCTAACAGCAATTGTGAAATGAATGGTGTTGGTGCAGTTCTTTATTACTTAAACCCAAAGCTAATAAACTGAATTGTGAAAATAAATGGGGAACCAAAGCAAGTTGGAGTGTCCAGAATTTTTCATTCCTCTACTGCATGCAACTATAGTTTGAAAACATTCTACAAAATTTTTTAACGAAAATTGTTTATATTTTTTTTTAAATCCTCAGATCTAGGTGTTAATTATTAATGAAAAGTTTGATTTGTCATTTCAGTAAAAAATTTCTGCCATTTACTCATGCATAAATAATGCCAATTAAAAAAAAATCATGAAAACTACGGCAACAACCTCCACACGTATTTTTGATATTTAGTTGGATAGTGTAGGAAATAATTCTAATCTAAAATTAACATGGCCATCAAACAACCGTCTAAACAGCAGACTATATATACAGTTCTTTTCAGACATTTCTACATGCATTCAAAAACATGGTGATGAAAAAAATGAACTTTTTACAGAAGCAAAAATTGATTTTTTTTTAGAAAAATCTTAACTATTAAAATATTTGTAGGATACAAGCGTTAGAAAAAGATAGTGAAACTACAAAAGAACTGTCACTGCAGAGTAACTGCAGACATTAAAAAATCATTTGCATTGAAGAGGCATTTTGTTTAAAACTTAGTCAAACACTTAAATATAGAATCAGCTTGCAGAATTTAGTTTACACATTTTTATACCGAAATACCAAAGACATATTTTTAGATGTTCAAAAAACATTTTAGAAACTTGCAAAGTAAATAAGATTATTATAAAATCTAAAAACTGTTTTGCAACCTGGAACACAATCTTTCATAGCATTGTGTCCAAAATGTGTTAAACAATTCTAATAAATTAAATCATTGTCATTTTTTTTAAAAAAAGACACAAACAGACAATACACAGGACAACAACTTATCGTAACAAGGACATTTAAGATATTAGCTGAATAATCAGGCTTGCAACAAAGCATATTTTACATATTTTCTAAAGTGATTCTACTACGTTTATCCCAAAATTAAAATCTTTCTTATAGATTTTTGGGATTAATAACCTCATTTCTATATCAATACACAATTTAAAAATGTCTTAAGAATATTGTTCCGTAACTAAAAATAAAACCATTAACTCAAGCAATGATCATTTATTTCTGTGAATGATTCCTAGGAGATGCCTATGTCATATATATTTTTGTTCTGCCAAACAAATCATGCTGTAAGAGGGGTTGTTTTCAGGGGGTTAGTTCTTACACTAGTACATATAGTAAATTCTTTGTATAATTTAAATGTTCGTATCTATCTAGAGCTAGCGGACTCACAGTATAATCTTTAAATTGGGAAGGTTATGTCCAGCAGCTCTCACCAGTCCAGTGTTTTTCAGCCTTGGTGACTTTTAAATATGTGAACTTCAACTCCCAGAATTCCCGAGTCCACATATCTGAAAGTTGCCAAGATTGGGAAACACTTCACAGACTGAGTTTCATTGTTTTTCCAAATCTCTTGCATGTATGACTGTATCTTAACAATGTAAAATCAAGATAAACATTGATCCACCTCTTTCCCTTTCCTTCCCCCCCCTTATTTATTTTTTCCCCCATTTTTATCTTGTCCAAAGCAATAAGAAAAAAACTATTTTTTTACTCTATTCATAGCTTCAGCAAGAAGCTCAGGGATCAAGGTTGGTCTAAACCAGGGGTGTCCAACCTTGGCAACTTTAAGACTTGTGGACTTCAACTCCCAGAATTCCTCAGCCAGCTTTGCTGGCTGAGGAATTCTGGGAGTTGA